AACTTGTGGGACGTCCTTCGCGATCTTATAGCATTGGACACATCGTCAGTTTTTGTGGGGACGGGGCAGATTCTCAAGCACATATCGTACAACAGCAGCTTGGAGGTATCACGTATCAGGGTGTATGGGTTCGGCGTTTATCAGTTTCCCGCTTCGGCAACGCGGCTACGCAAACGCACGCGCCAGCAGACTCCAGAAGAGCGCGGCACGAGCGTGAACACAGGATGCATGCTTGCTTTTGATCGCTCCATGTTCCCTCTCAAGAGGCATGTGCGCACTTCGGTTCCTCCCTAGCCGCTCTTGGGCCGTTGAGGGGCGGTCAAGTATACGCAGGTGGAACGGCCGATTTGTTCTCGGTATACAGCTTGTTGCGTCTCAAGAGCAACGCGGATAGGATCGTTGGGCACATAATGTACTGCTGTGCCAGCGCGATGCGCCCCGGTGTTCATGTTCGACGGTAATTTGTACACGGGTTAGACACGATTTTGCACTGAGTGGTCGTCTTCCCTGGGCAATATGCGGTGGGGCAGCAAGGGGTTGAAGCAGAGAGCTACGACGGGGTGCAGTACCGACAGTTCTGCGACCAATCACATTTAGCCATAGCGAATACGCATTGCGGCACCGGCCACGGGCCCACCTTCTTCAAAGGCAGCCGCCGCACGAGGGTGGACTACATACTCGTTCCGAAAACTAGTTTGCATCGCATTGTCCGCATGATGGTGTGGCGCGGAACCTTGTTGGAGCTGCAGCATCTCCTACATTCCCTGCGAGGGAGTGGGCGTAGTCGGAGGGGGGCTCGTTGGGCACAGTGCGAGAGCTCCAGCGGAGCAGATCTCGCAAAACAGCCCCCCGCTGGTCTGCACCCAAAGCGGCGTGGCTTCCTGCTCTGGCGTCGCCGCCTAGCCACGACAGAGATCGAACTGACGTATTTCAAGCGCGTTTTCGGACCTCCCCACTTGCGTTGCAGGCTGCGGGGCGCATGCCGAACCAGTGGGCCGTCAGCCAGGGGCGCTGGGTACCGAAGAACAACCAGAGGCACACGTGCAAAGCTGAACGAATCGTGCATCTTCTGGGCCCATTCGGATTTTACTTCAATCGTAATGCTTTCGCCTTCGGCGCCGACGGGGACAAGCTTTCTCGCAGTTTCGATTCGTGCAGTGGCGCTTGGCTTCTCACAAGAAGGGCTGGCTCAGAGCCGACCAGGCGAGCGCCTTCACCTCCACCTGCCGCCGCGCGACCGACCAGGTAGTGTTTGGCGCCTTGGGGCACTCACGTTCTAGGATTTCTGTCGGTCCCCATCGCTTCGCGACGCGCTTCCTGGAGGCCGATGATAGGTCATGGACATCATTTGCTTTTGGGTGTGCCGACATGCGTGGAGATGCGCCCGCTCCAGATCGTTTCCTTTTGCTGTATGATCCTCGGATCTCGCTTTGGGCCCAGGGCGGCAGGGGGGATGGGGGGGCAGGCCTTTTTCGAAGCCGTCGAGCCGCGCAGCCACGTTAGGGTGGGCGCGTCTTTCGACGCACACGCAGGCGACCTACAGCTATTCGGTCCCTCTGCCTGCGCCACGAAAACCGCGCAGGATACCAGGAACTGGGGCAGCCGATTGCGCAATCTTGTCACGCAGGAGGCTCTGTTTTGCCAGAGCGTCGACGCCAAAAAGGAACCATGCTTCGATGTGATGGTCGTGGGGCCCCGCGACATATGCAATTTCTCGGCGCGGGCGGATCTTCGACGCCTGGCAGTCCCAAGCTCGCAACTCGCCGCTTTGGGGCGCATCTCCAAGCAGGCGGATGGCAGCGGCGTGATTTCTCTGTCCGCGAGGCGGCCGCCCGCGCAGGATGGGCTTGAGAATCAAGCGCGCGGCGTTCCACTCCCCAGCCACCGCGCGTTCCTGTATGGGGGGGAGGTGTGGGGCCTCATCCAGCCAACCAAAGATAAGTTCGACAGGTTTACGCAGGGCCGCGTCTGCGTTTTACCGATGGGATGGGCCGGTGCGAAAGGGTACAGCGGGGAAGGAGACCTCGTCCGATGTCGCGCGAGGACCAGCGCCCTGGTCCAGAAACGATTGCATATCTCGGTTTTTTACAGCATCATTCAGGATCGTCTGCTACGATGGGTGGCTCGCATTGGTGAGCATCCAGCCGATGATCGCGCTCTTTCTGCCTGCTTAACGGGGAAGTTCGGAGACGGGCCAGCTCAGTGAACCTCTCGCGGGGAACCGACGCACGTGGCAGATCCGCGGCTCAAGTTGTCAGGTTCTGACCCCGGCGTTCTGGGCTGAATCCCCAGGTCAGGCGCGTGCCCTGCTCCGCGCGAGCGGTTTTTCGCGCGATCGCCCCGAGCTTCTCCATCCCCCGAAGGGCCCAATCGAAACTCCCCGGCCGCGCCCCGAAGCCCCATGTTGCTGGGGTGGAGGGGGGGGGGTGTCAGTGTGATTTTGCGTTCGAGCCATGCGCGCCGGGAGCGCCCTACTCGCGCGGTTAAATTCCAGGGCACATCCGCCCCGCGGGCGCAGCTGCAGCATTTTTTGGCGCGTTTCAGCGGCGAATGCACAATCTCCTTGGCGCTTAAAATCTGCCGGTGGCATGCAGACGGCGCGCGCGCATCTGCAGTCTGGGGGTGATCGCGATCCGCCGCGTTGCCCGCAGAGGGGGGGGGGGAGACGCCATGTCGCATGTCGCCGTGGCCGATCCGCCCAAGGAGCTCAGCTGCCCTTTTTGCCCCTCGCGCTGCGAGGACTCTCTCCCGGCCTTGTTTTCTCGCAGCCGCTCCCGTCTTCGCGGTGGCACATTCGTGGATGTCGCGCGCGCCGGTGCCGCCGATGCGTCAGCGCAGGAAGTCGGTGGCGGCGGAGACGGCGGGCAGCGGCTCGGCGAAGCGTCGGGCAGTCGGCGGTCGGGATCTTCTGCCTGGAGAGTTGGCGGCGGCGTCAGCCAAAGCTTTGGTCGGAGTCGACGGCGTGGCTCGCCGTCGTAACGGCGCGCTCTGCACGGGGGCGCCTGTGACCGACGACCACCTGCATTTGGCCATCCTCCAGAAGCAGGGGAAAGAAGACGGCCCTGCGAAGAAGGAGTCGGAGGAGGCCGGCAAAGAGGACGAGATCCCGGAACTCACCCTGTGACCTGCGTGCGGTGCTGGACGGATGGAGTTATGCAAGGCGGTGCTTTCGGACCAGCTGGCGCTGAAGAGGCCCAACCTTACTAAACATAACGGCGCGGTCAAATCATTCGAAGAGGTCGGCACGCACGTGGCCACGTGCTTCCAAAAGAAGGCGTTCGGGCAGATTGAGTGGATGGAGGACCACCGGTGGCTGGGGCTGCTTGTAATTCCCGAGGTGTGACCAGTGATGCTCGAGGCGATGCAGGCGGTGGCGATGAAACCCAATGTGATACTGAAGAACGGCGGTCCCCCTCGCGGCTTCCACGTCCGCAGTGTAGCAAGAGTTTAGGTCGCGTTCGGGGAGTGCGAGGACTTTGACCAGAAGTGGGCCATCAGTTACAGTTTAGTATTGTCTCCTCCCCCCTCCTCTATTCCCTCCTCCCTGGAGCAGGTCAGGTCGGTGCGCCGGCGCTTGACGAATAACGGGCCCCCCCCCAGATTGTTTACGACGCTTTTTGGGTGCGGGTTTCAGATTTGTTGCAGCGTCTACTGGCAATCAGGCGTCAGTGGTTCCCTCTCCTTCCTCTGGCCTCTCCTGCCTCGGGTCCAGGGGCCCCTCCTCGTCGTGGCCGTTGTCGGTCGTTGCCCCCTTCTCTTCCGCTCGAGCCATGCTTGCGTTTGCGTTGCCTGTCAGCGCCTGGTGTTGATCTTTACGTCCGTCCAGACTGATATGGTGTCTTTGTATAACTATTCTCCTCCTTCATCTTTCTTATCCAGCCCGCGTGCCAGTTTGGCATCGTAAGGAGAGGGCGGAGGCGGGTTTTGTGATCATGAGTGTGCCCCAGGAGCCGCGGCAAGCCTCCAGCGGGGCTTGTGCTGCCACGTTCCTATTGGGTGCCAGTGGCTCAGTCAACCATCTAACTCTGGTTTTTGTGCATTCTGTTTTGGCAAAGAACGCTGAGCGAAGTGGATTAGGGCCCGCCAAACATTACCAGGTAGCACCCGAGACCTGGTGTCCAGGACGTTGTTTGTATATGATTGCTGTGTAAGGCCGCGGCCAGGGATATCCAGAAGGGCAGTCATACCGACAATCATCATCATCACCATTGCCATCAGCATCAGCATCAACATCATCATCAGCATCATCGCCATCATCGTCATCATCTTCATCCGTAGGGCGGATGGCATTAAACGTCTTGCTTTTGCTTTCTGGCCGTTCACATTCGTTTTGGAAGGTTGCACCCGCATCAAGGAGTGAGGGCGGGCCGCTTTCAACATGTGGCTGTCGTCATCGCGCCTCGCACTGTCGTCTCAAGAGTTTGGAACAGTTTCAACGGTGGAGGGCGGTTCCTTTTCGAAATGTGGCTCCCGCCCCACAGTGCGGATGCACGGATCCGTCGGGATGAAACGGATCCGTCGGGATGAAATCCCTGGAGTTGTGTTCTGGCACAGTTTAGGGTTGTTAGGACGCAACAGTCACAGTGATTCGCGGTGTTGCAGTCCCAAGACTGGTCTTGAGGATTCTCAGACGGTTGTCTTCCAATGGGGCTTTTCCCGCAATGGGCACATGTTCGCGCAGGGGCCTGGGAAGAGGGAACTTGGGGGGATTGTTTACTGCAACATTGTTGATGCGTCTTGGGTTTATACTGCTCTTCCCCCTCCTCCTCCCCCCCATCATCCTCCCCCCCCCCACTCCTCCTCCTCCTCCTCCTCCTCCTCCTCCTCCTCCTCCTCCTCCTCTTCCCTCCTCCTCCTCCTCCTCCTCCTCCTCCTCCTCCTCCTCCTCCTCCTCCCCCCCTCCTCCTCCTCGTCCTCCTCCTCCTCCTCCTCGTCCTTCTCCTCCTCCTCCTCCCGTCGGCGCTGCGCCCCCCGCCGGCGAACGGGCGCTCGTACAGCGGCGGCGGGGGCCACGGGAGCCACAGCAGCAGCAGCTACGACCCCGGCCCGCCGTCCGGCTTCTCGAGCTCGAGCCACGGTGGCTATGGCTGTCTTTGATGTCGCCGTCGGCCTCGTCGTCGTCGTCGTCGTCGTCGTCGTCGTCGTCGAAGTTTCAGTTGGAGACGTCGTCGTGGTCGCCGTCGTCGTCGTCGTCGTTTTGTTGTCCTCGCGGTCACCGTCGTCGTCGCCGCCGTCGCCGTCGTTACAGTTTCAGTCGAAGTCGGCGTCGTGGTTGCGGTCGAAGCGTTTGGATCGAAGTCGTCGTCGAAGTCTCAGTCGTCGCCGTCGTCGTCGTCGCTGCCGTAGTCGTCGTCGCCGTCGCCAGAGGAGGAGGAGGGAACGAGTCAGGAAGAATGGTGAGTTGGTAGTGGTCAGTGAGGGAGGAATGACGACAGGAGGAGGGGGAGGAAGACGAGGACACGTAGCAGGACGATGAAGAGGAGGACGGACGTCGACGGCGGCCTCGACTGCGACGAGGGCGACGACCAGAACGAGCGTGAGGGCGATTGCGGCGGCGAGTGTGAGGGCGAGTGTGCAGGACGGGGCGAGGGCGGGGACGAGCAGGACGGGGCGCGGCAGGAGGACAAGGAAGTCGGGGGCGAGGGCGAGGGTAATGTCGGGCATGTCCCTCTACAGGAGGAAAATTCAAGAATAGGCAGAAAGATCGGGGGACGACTGTTGTGCCATGTTTGCACAGTTTAGGCGTATCTTTTGACTGTTGCCCAATGTTCTTTCAAAATCCGCCTGCAGGAGGAGATGCTCGACCTAGAGTGAGGGGAGTGGTGCAGGTGTCGGCAGTGGCACAGAGCGCCCCCCCCACCCGGCGGAAGCTCGTCTGGCGGGCAAGCCCTCTCCAGGGGCCGACCCAGATGTTTGGTCTCCTCCTCCTCCCTCCTCCCTCCTTCCTCCTCCCTCCCTCCCTCCCTCCTCCCTCCTCCCTCCTCCTCCTCCTCCTCCCTCCCCCCCTCCTCCGCCTCTCCTCCTCCTCCTCCTCCTCGTCCTCCTCCTCCTCCTCCTCCTCCTCCTCCTCCTCCTCCCCCTCCTTCTCATCATCCTCCTCCTCCTCATCCTCCTCTTCCTCCTCCTCCTCCTCCTCCTCCTCCTCCTCGATTCCCAGGAAAAGAGGGGAGAAGATGGGAGGTGGGGGGAAGACAAAAACCCAGAAACGACGGGACAATATGGGGGATAGTTTTATCTTTATTTGTGTGTGTCCTGGGGCCCCTTCATCGTACTCTCTCCGTTTTTTTTGTTTCGCGTTCGCCGTGGTGCGGGGCCGACCACTGGCCGGCCACGGTTCCGGACTTGCGCGCCAGGGCGCCTGTTTTTGGGGCAGTCGGTCGGACCGCTGCCGTTCCACAACGCACCAGAACGAAAACGGCACGCATGCGCAAAACGTTGTTTCAGTAGATCGGAGGTGGACAGAACCCCCAACAGTGACACGTCGATTAGTGAATTGTCCGTTTTCGGTTCTCGAGAGGGCGCCGTGGCCGTTGTTTTCCAGGCCTGCGCCCGCCAGGTTTGGGCCCCAGGTCGTTTTCACTAAACCACGTTTTACTAAAGGGAGGTCTGTCCATCCCCGAGTAGACCCATGGTATTTTCTGGAGGCAGCAGGTCATTCTACGGGCGCCAACCGCCACCGTTTCGAGTACATCTGGAGCGTCCCGCCCCATGACGTCGTCGGTGTCTTTCGGAGGTGGACAGGCCTCCTACCCTGACACGTCGATTAAGGAATTGGCCGTGTTCGGTTCGCGAGAGGGCGTCGCGGCCGTCACTTTAGCGGGCCCAGGTCCTTCGATTTCGGCCCGAGGTCG